CTGCATAGACAACCCTGGATAACCGTTTAAATGCCACGTTTTCGGTCTTCTCTGATGTCATCCACTCGAGTTAAACCCCTTAAGGACTTTCTCTATACGAGGCAAACTTAATTCTCTTTTGGAGGACACTAGAGCAGACGGCAGTATGGTGGCCTGGATCAGTATATGCTTGGATTCCCATGGTAAATTGTTCCCAAATCAGTAAAAAGAACTGTTCCGTAAACTTGTTCATACCGCATTACAAGATAAACAAATGTTGCTTTTCATCTGGTAGTTTATCTCAACAACGGATGTGTATTTTGTGAAGTTAATGGCACGCTCTTTTCAATACATCATTGTCAGGTACTTACACGGTGAGCTTATTACTAGGGCACGAGAAGATGAAAAAAAAACCAGATAAGATAATTTTGCTGCACTTTTTTTCTTAATAACGCTGCTTTTAACGATCTGTCTGAGCTCGTTTAAGTGTTATGATATCAAAGTTGAGAGACGATTTGCCTTGTTCACGCCAAAGATAGATATCAGCGGTGTTTTATAATAATGCTTATTAGACTATATTTCAAAGGGAGACTTCTAAGTTTAGATATATTTCCAAAAATACTTCAAATGTAAGGTAAAAAAAATCTCAATTTGAGGAAAATCATGTAAGCCTTAAGTTGTATTTCAACAAGTTAATGGAAGGACTGATCGATTCGATATGGATATTTAGTTCTAAATCTGGGTGTGAAATCATATAATTGTCTGGAAAGTGCTAGTCGGCACGTTCACCCCACGAAGTCACCCTCAATGGTCAGGAGTTCATACAAAATAAATCTAGTTAGGTGTTAGTTTAAATTAGGGATAAATTGTAATGTTATCGCATAAATAAATGGAAATCGAAAAGGGAGTCATTACACCTGAATCGCGCTATGCTGATAAGCCTGTTTGGTGGTTGTATACAGTTAAAGCGGAGATAAAAGAGCGATTGATGCGGTTTGTGTACGGTTATCGCCGTTCAAGACTAATGAGTAACGTTTTCTTTCACAGTGGACGTATGGAGGGGCTACAAGACAGACAGAGCTTGTCAAGCAAAGGTACGTTCGTTTTGCATCTCTCTCTCTCTCTCTCTCTCCTGATACTACTACTACTACTACTACTTCTATCAACACTTTTACTATTTCTACACTTGAGTACGATTCTTCGGTAAATGGAGAAACGTTAGTAGGAAAAGTCGCTAACTTGAAATAACACTGTTGACATTTGGTATTAACATTCGTATTTTAGTAACAACGGGTATATAATAATAAAACTATAGTTTAGCATAACATTGTAAGTCAAAGTCAATTGCTGTAAAATAATTAAAAAAAGTTCTCAGCTATTTGATCTTTGAGAGGATGGAACCCGTAACCAATGACTTTGATATCACAAGACTATCCATCTTCGCCGTGAGCAAACACTGGCAAGGATTTGTGTCAGTAAAACATATACATTACAAAAATGTTAGTTTACTTACGCGATTAGATCTATACTCTACTACGTGACACGTACAGTTACATGATATTGATAAGGCTAAGGTCCTTTTTGCTGGAAAAAATAGATCCTAACCAAAAATTGATAGGAACCTTCTTACAACCGAAATTGATTAAGAAATGTAAAACTGAAATCAAACAGTTGTTTATCGACTTGCTTCGTCTTTCACAATATAGATTGACTACACAGCACTGACAAATTACGCCTCAAGCTAGAGGTCGTTCTTCCCCCTCCTACGCAGACGTAGCACGTTTAGCGGAATAACGCAATGTATTGTAATAACGATAACAAGTTTTACATTACATCTCTGATGAACAATCGAACATTGAAAGACATGAGAACTATACGTACAGTTAAAATGATAAGACCTATATATGTTTAAATCATATACATGTAAGAAAGGCAACCTTGATTTATTCTAAATCTCTTACCAGAAAGTGAATTAATTTTTTTAGTGAAAAGAAGAGAAAACTCACTATGGTAACATATACAGCAAGCGTTTCCACTTAATTCAATACGGTGTTAACTAATAGATATCAAAGCCGAGACAGTGAGTTTGAAAACAACGAATTAGAAGACGATTATCTATTAAGATGATTTCATGTGCAACTAATTTGACATTTGTTAGTAAATAGACGACGATATATATAATATCTAAGTATACAAGTGCTTACAGACATTTTAATTCTTGGAAAAAAAGGAATTAAATCACGCGTTGTTCTCTTTAAATAAAAACATGCCTAGCTCAGTTAATTCTTTGATATTCAATAGGAGTAGGACTGTGTACATTCAAATCTACTTCCTTTAAAATAGCATATCCATGAAACACACCACAGATGTTTAAAGCTGTATTTTTGGATTATGGTATCCGGCTGAATGCTTGCCATTATAACAAACGTTAACTGATAACGGCAAGTAAATTTACGTAAAATTACAAACCCGTAGATGACAAAAATTAACAAACATAGAGCTTTTAAGGTAGACGAGACTTTATTGTTCTAATCGTTTTCGTTGATGAAGAAATTGTCCGTAAAACATTTGATAAGATTCGATTTCCAAATACGTGCCAAAGTATTTCCCTAGAAGTTATATAGACACAAGTCTGGCACTTCAAATTTGCTTTTTAACTGATAACGCAATTTTTCCACTTTTCTCAGGAAACCGGGAACCGGGTGTGTGAATCCCAGGTTTGCAATCAAAAGAGAGTTTCCTCTTAGAACAAATCAATGCTACAGCGCAAAATGTCTATCCTGCTCTTCCTGCGGTAATGCTGAAAACAACTGTTTACTGCAGAGCAAATCGACGTCGAGAACTACGATGTGATGACTTCCAATTTGAATCTCTCAGTGAACACACGTCTGTTTTCCCAACCGAAGATGAATTCGACAACGGGCAGCAACATCAGTGTAACCAGAAACGAAAGTGTTTATGCCGCTTGCACGGCAAAAAACCCTTGCACTTATGAAGATTTAACTTTTTTGCCAGGAATGACAATACTTTTTGATATATTGTATATCATCATCATCATCTTCGCGGTCATAGGAAATGTATTAGTTATCTTAACTGTATACAGGAACAAAGGAATGCACACGGTGCCAAATGTGCATTTAGTCAATCTAGCCATCACTGACCTCTTGGTAGCAATGTTTGTGATGCCGCTAAAACTCATAGAATATGGAGCCGCTAGAGATGTCAACGTCTTTGTGGATGGAGTGTGTTCTGCCATGACATATACACTGCCAATTTTCGTCTTTGCTGGTGTTTATACCCTTGTCACCTTATCTATTGAAAGGTAATGTCTTGTTTGTTTTCTAATAACACTTGCTATAGGTTGATAAACGTGAAGACTGGATTTAATTTAGGTTTGGATATTTCATTTATATATTGTCATATTAAAAAAAAAAACCTTTCCTTGTATGTTTCCATTCTGAACGTAATTTCAAAAATTAAATAACATCACTTATAATCGAATAAATTGCATCAGCACCTACAGGCAAAATAATTGTCTAAAACTTTCTGTTGGGCGCTAGTCACGCGTGATATAGGATTAAAGATTGAGCTTTCTATATTTCACACGCAAAAAAGGAAAACACGTCTTTACGTTATAAAAATATACGGTTTCGTTTTACAAACTTAATAGAATCTATAATATGATATCATATCATAAAAATCTTGCATAAAAGAAATGCTTCTTTCATAAAAGAATTATATGAAAATGTATCTTCGTGGGAACGGATGAAGACCTCTCTCTCCCAAATGAACAGCATTTAATACCAAAACAAAAATATTACTTTATCGACTTTCACTAATGCACCAGTCAATATCACGTGTGGCTTCTGTAAGGTTTGACTATGATTTACTTTCAGGTATTACGCCATTGTCCATCCGTTTCGCTCTTTGAAGATAAATACAGTTTCACGAACAATCAAACTTATGGCAGGAATATGGTTGACTGCCTTTGTCATACCAGTCCCTTTTCTGATCAACAGTAAAAGATATCCAGTCGTTCATAGTAGCCAACACGGCTTGGTGTCAAGGGTTAGGTGTGATAATGATTTTGAAAAAATTGACGCCCAACTCGGTGCCCCCAAGGAAAGCTTCCGAACCGGATTCTACAGTGTTCTTTGTTTAATCAATTTTGTCATCCCAACGGTCATCCTGGTGTACACTTCTGTACGCATCACGGTGGTGCTTCTGAAAACAAGAAAATCGGACCATGTTGTTATACGGCGACATAACACTCTACAAAGACGGGAAGTTGGAAAGCGCAAGGTAACTTTGGTGACACAGACG